GCAGCAGCTGTTCCATCTGGTTGGTGTTTAGTTGGACCATCATTTATTTTTCAACAGGACAATGATCCAAACACACCTCCAGGTTGTGTAAGGACTATCTGACTAAGGACAGTGATGGGTGCTGGCCTCCACAGTCACCGGACCTGAACCTGATCCAGATGGTTTGGGCTGAGCTGGACCACAGACTGAAGGAAAAAGAACCAACAAGCATCTCTGGGAACTCCTTCAAGACTGTTGAAAACCGTTTCAGGTGACTGAAGCTCATCAAGAGTGTGTGAAGCTGTAATCAAAGCTAAAGGTTACTTTGAAGAACCTGGAATATAAAACATATTTTCAGTTGTTTCACATTGTTTTGTTCAGTTTATAATTCCACATGTGTTCATTCATAGTTTTGATGCCTTCAGTGTGAATCTACAAGTTTTATAGTCATGAAAATAAAGAAAACTCTGAATGAGAAGGTGGGTCCAAACTTTTGATCTGTACTGTACTTGTACTTTTATTCAGGTATTACTATGAGGTACTTTATACAGAACTGGTTAAAGTAGATTCAGGGTTTTAGCTTTTATAAACTTCTGATGTCCTCCATCTCCAGTTTCTCCTGTCCTTCTGTCCCTCAGTTGGTCTTCTGTCCCTCGGTTGGTCTTCTTTCCCTCGGTTGGTCTTCTGTCCCTCAGTTGGTCTTCTGTCCCTCGGTTGGTCTTCTGTCCCTCNAATGATTCAAACATTTAAAGATGACTTTTAATAAATGTTTTCATAAAGAAGTCAAACATGTTTAAATATGTTAATAAGGAGGTGAAAAGGACTCAGTCCAGCTCAGACGTAAGCCTTGGTCCTGCTGCTGTCAGACGGTGCAGCAGCTCTGTAGATGTTCCGTCCTCGACTTGTGGAGAAATATGAGAAGTGTCTGCAGGAGAGACGAGACATCAGAGGACACCAGAGGACATGAAGGACATCAGAGGACTTCAGAGGACATCAGAGGACAGCAGAGGACACCAGAGGACATCAGAGAATACCAGAGGACATCAGAGGACATCAGAGGACATCAGAGGACATGAAGGACATCAGAGGACAGCAGAGGACATGAAGGACATCAGAGGACATGAAGGACATCAGAGGACATGAAGGACATCAGAGGACATGAAGGACATCAGAGGACATCAGAGGACATGAAGGACGTCTCTCAGGTCAGACAACAACAAAACACAATGAAACAGGTTTTATAAAACTCCAGACCACCTGCCCAGGACCCAGCAGGACCTGGTTTATAGAAGCTCCATATAAGCCCCGCCCACATCATGGTGTCATATGACCTTTCCTAGAAGCAGGAAGGCAGAACTACAGGAGTTTAAAGAGTCACACCTGAGGGACACCTGAGGAACCTGAATGTCCTGTTTGTCTACATGTGTGTGTTGGGGGGCGGGGCTTATGGAGTCCAGGGGTCAAAGGTCACCTCATCAGAATCCCCTGTGAAGGATTTGAAATTCATTGAACAGGTTTAACTAGATCCTGAAGTCCTGCTCTTCAGGGCTCTGCAGGTCTGGATCAGAGGTGTCCCCCTGTGGACAGAGTCCAGTACCACAGTCTGTGTGGACTCACCCAGCAGGGACGGAGGAGACAGTCTTCCTGCAGGAACAGCACAGCAGAGACCCTCCCAGGATGGCCAGACCGGAGGTGGCCCAGCCCAGGTACAGACCAGAACCCAGCTCAAACCTGCAGCAGAGCCAGACTCAGAGTTTAGACCCAGAACCAGAACCAGCCTCAGACAGGGACCACAGTCTGCTGGGTACTGACCGGACTCCACCGTAGAACGGGTCGTAGAAGTCCTGGATGACCCTGGCAGCGTACCAGGAGACGGCGGTCAGAGTGAGGACACCTGGGGGGGCAGAGGGGACGGACTCAGACTCACCTGAAGTTTTCTTTAATCAAATAAAATCTTTTAGGGTMTCAGTCCTGGTTCTGGTTCCAGAACTCGTACCAGACAGGATGAACATGACTCCTCCGCTCAGGACCATCTGACCTTTGACCGGCTCYGGAGTCCTGCCCAGCTTTGTGCACTTGAGTCCGAGCACCGAGACCAGGATGGAGGCGAGACCGAGCAGCAGGGACAGGATCATCAGGGCCCTGCAGACCTGCAGGTGAGCTGGAACACAGACAGCATGGGTCTGAGGACAGAGCAGGTTCTGGACAGGCTTGTTATCACACAGAACCCAAACCGGGTCTTGTGAGTCGGACCGCTCACCTGAGAGTCCCAGCACGGTCTTGAACCTGCTGCACTGCACCGACCCCGTGGAGGCGGCGGCGCAGCTCATCCACAGACCTTCAAACTGCGAGGAGCTGGTGGTGACGGAGTCCACGTGGCTCTTCACCTTCCAGGTCTGAGACGAGGTGCAGCTGGACTGCAGGCACCAGGACACCACGCCCAGAACCAGACCCACAACCTGCAGGCCCACCACCATGCTGCCAGAGGTCCACACCTGGAGACACAGCACAGACACATCTTCAGCAGCTATCCCGTCCTGAGGCGTTCCTCAGAGCTGGATCCTCAGTCCTCTGAGGTTTCAGCCCGACTTCAACAGAACCACAAGTACAGTAGAGACCAAAAGTTTGGACCCACCTTCTCATTCAGAGTTTTCTTTATTTTCATGACTATAAACCTTGTAGATTCACAYTGAAGGCATCAAAACTATGAATGAACACATGTGGAATTATAAACTCAACAAAACAATGTGAAACAACTGAAAATATGTTTTATATTCCAGGTTCTTCAAAGTAACCTTTAGCTTTGATTACAACTTCACACACTCTTGATGAGCTTCAGTCACCTGAAATGTTTCACTTCACAGGTGTGCCCTGTCAACAGGTGTGCCCTGTCAACAGGTGTGCCCTGTCAACAGGTGTGCCCTGTCAACAGGTGTGCCCTGTCAGGATTAATAAGTGGGATTTCCTGCCTTCTAAATGGGGTTGGGACCATCAGTTGTGTTGTGCAGAAGGTGGATCCAGCACACAGCTGGTGGTCCTACTGAACACACTGTTAGAATCTGTATTACAGCAAGAAAACAGCAGCTAAGT